AGGGCTGTGATAATGAGCCTGTATGCCTGCATGTGGAAAGCGTGATGCTGGTTTAGAAAACAAGCACTTCCACTGAAAAGCTCACGCTGAGAAAAACCACTGTGCACCGTTCCAGCACAATGCTGCTTCAAATTGGCTTTGCTCAAGCAAGTATGTGTTGGGAACAACCGTGGGCATTAACCCTGCGTGTATTACACTTCCAAAACCAACAAGTCTTAATAGCATTTCTAATAACGCTCTAATTATCTATAAAGAGCACGGTATTGAATAGCCATGACTAGCAGTTTAAAATGCTGCATGCACTGATGGGGTTCTTTGCTATTCATAAGTGCAGTGTAACCATGTCTCCTCTCACTTTTTAAACATTGTGCCCCTGACCCTAAAAAATAGGTGATGCTTCATTTATTGCTCATGTCTCTGGCATACCCCTGCTAACGCTAGAGGCCCTGTGCTTCGTACCTGTATTTGGAAATCTCAGTGACCTTGGTCACACCAGGCTGAAGAAACCTGTCTTGCAAGCATGAACCCAGGTGATTAATTTCAACAAACAGGTTGCTTATAAGAGTGTAATTAGTCACTTGTGCAAATGGCAGGATGGGTGCACTGACCTGCATTAGACACATTGTAGTATACACCTCCCCATTGGTTCTTTTTCCTCTGTTAATCAGAGGCCTGAAAACCCTGCAACATTTAGACAGCTTGAGGTTGAAGGCTGAAATGTCACTTTTAAAACAGGGTTAAAAAGGTCACACAGCTGCAAATAATAATAGCCCAATGAAAATCAGATTCTTACTGCAGCCCACTTCAAGAATAACATTGAAACAGGAAACAAGCCTGCTTGATGTTTTTACCAGTATGGCAGTAAGATTACTGCTGAGTTTAAAAAGGGGGGAGAGAGAGACAGAAAGGAGCATGCTTTCTTGGTCTTAGATGTAAGAACAGTTTTTGTGGCTCAGAAAAGATGATCCTGGGGCTCTGCAAAATCTCCTTGAGGAGCCTGAGGACATGGAGTACTTCCCTCTGGATGCTGCTGAGAGGAGATGTAGTTTGTTGGTGCATTCTGAGAGTGGTTTTGTTTCGTCTGTTTGCTTTTTTTCTTTGTTATGTTCTTGCATTCCTCACTGTGGGCTTCGGTTTTATTAATTATAATAAAAACTTCTTAGAAGACTCTTATGCAAAAATCAGGGAGTAGAAAAAAAATCTTGCCTTGCTACAGAACTTGTTTCTCTACCACGTGACGTAGGTTGGAGAAGCCTTTCTCTTGTATTTTTATTTATTTCTTTTTATAATTAGAATACCTTAGCTTCTCCTGAGCAAAGTGATATTTCAGAAGAATGGCAGGCTACAACAGCATAGCAGATTTCTTCACTTACACATTCTGCCAATAAGGCTCTTTACATGGTCACAATAGGGCAATAAATGCTGACAGATGTTGTTAACATGTCTATTAAAATTCAGCCCCCATTTCTGCTGGATTATACACTTATGGCTATTGTTAATAGTATCAGAAGTAATGCTGACATATCAATAATAGTGTTCGCTTTTATTTATAATCCTTGATTGTTTCTTAAAAAAAGTCGCAAATTTGGAATAAATTAAGCTATTGATAACAGAAGCAAAAATTCAGACTGGAGAAATTTTTTAACTTTACACTCATCATAGATTTGTCTGATATTCTTCATGTGCATTAATTGCAGTGGTTATTAGTGGTACTACAAGAGTTGCATGAATGTAACTTGCATTTTTAAGATCCCAAAGGCTAATAAGCACCTTAATTTAGATGGAAAGGCTGCTGTGATATATTTTTATTAGGTGAAGTGGAAATGTTGCCATTGGTTGTGCTATTTCCTTCCTTCACCTGCACACAGTGTGGAAAAAGAAGACGTGGATTGTGTGGGCCAGCAGCACACGTGAGACACGTGAAGAGAAGTGTGTGCCAGAGGCTGTGTGCAGCTGTCTGAGCTGAAGGATGGGAGATGCCTGCCTGCATCCTGAAAAGGATGCTGTGCAAGCTGTGCTGTGCACAACCAGAACACTTCTGCTGCTGGGAGCCCCCATCCTGCTGCAAACCTGGGGTGGTGCTGGTGCATCCACAGCTTTTGCAGAGTTCAGTGGGATTGAGGCATGCAGGAGGTTCACACTCACAGCCCGGAATTTCAGCTGCTCGTTTCTGGTCAACATTCAAGCACAACACTGGAATTACTGCCATATGATAACCAAGCACCAGACACTTGCAAAAAGCGTAGGCAGCAGGCAGCTTCTTCCACTGATGTACTGTTGTAAGAGAGTCAATTGTAACACAGTCTCAACTGCAGTGATTGCACCACATGTAAACACCAATTCTGCAATTTGTCTTGAGGGCACTGTGCTACCTGGTAACACATTATATAGGTCAGGTTCTGCCAGACAGCACCTTGGAGTGAAGGTGATACAGCCACTCTGGATTATTGCTTGTTTTATGCTCAGTGTCTGCAGAAAATGGTTCTCATGGAAATAAGTAGTTGCTTGTACATTTGGGGAAAACAATTTGATGTTGAATCTGACGCCTTTTCCAGGTTCTGAGAGTAAACAACAAATCCATGGTTTCTTATAGTCGATTTCCTGGAGCTGATCCCTGCACTCAGGATTCTAGTCCTCATCTAATATGTTATTTTGGTGCTTAGTCCATGCTTATCTACTAGATAACTGTGAGTGTAATTTAATTGTTATAAGAGCATGCACTGATGGATTCAGGAGTAAAGGTCAAGCTCAGGGTGGGGAGGGAAGTCTTAGACTTGCAATACTCAATAAGAAATCAAACTTCAAATAATTCCTGGTAATGTTTTGAAATTCACTTGGACACTTGGGACCAGAATTGTAACTGTGTTGTTTTCTTTTACTGAGTCTCATCTGTTGTTTTGCTATTGAAAATGCTGTTGTCACTGTCCCCTGAGGAGGGGAAAAAGGGGTAACACAAATCTTTGGCAGTGCTTCAGTTGCAGGAGCAATTGAGATATTAAATAAAGCCTTTCATTATCCATGAGTAGCTCCGGTTTTTTTTTGGTTTTTTTTTTTTTTTCTTTTCTTTCTGTGTAAAGGAAAAAGTTGTCTTTAGGAAAGACAACATGCCTGGGGTCACAACTCGTATATAGAGGTGGATTTAAAAATGTAACTTAGCTGGAGGTTTTGGTTTTGTTTTTTGCAGGGGTTTGTTTTTCTAGTCAGTTATCTCTCTGCTGCTTGTTTTTTTTCAGACAGGATAGTGTAATTCAGAATATTTTTATGGCTTCATCTCTGAAGAGCTTGTCTATGCACAGTCTGGAACTGAAATAACTGAAATTAGAAGTAATTTAACACCTTTAGTTATTTTAGTATACGAATATACTCTTTCATTTCTGATTATGAGTATCCTATTTCAGTTTAACATAGCTGTAAGTTAAATCAAAACAGGATATGAATAATCTTAAAGGAGTAAATTAGCTACAATTTTAGTTATTTCAGTTCTAGCCTTGTGTGGATACATAAGTTATGCCTGAGTTAGGACCTTTCTTGACACTTTATTGTATTTTTTATCATTTGTCTCAGGCCAGATGTTGGTAGAGATGCTCATGATCAGTTGGTGCTTATTATCAACTTTTGGGAGTAGTGTCCTTGTGGAGGTTGAAGGGCAAATGAAAGTAGAAATCCTTAATTTCTGGATTCTGCTTCTAGGAGTCAGTGGAGTCATAGAGAGGGGAGTTTTTTTATGTCACAATTAGGAAAATATACTGGCAGGCTAATGTTGTCCACCAGAATGAAGTTTAATTAAAAAGAAAATGGTATCATCCAGTGAAAATAATTGCTGCAAGTACGGGTCTGGCTGATGTACTGGTTAGTGGTGAATTACACTATCAGCTGTAAGCATGCTAAAGATACTTCTGATGACAGGAAAAATGAACGGTAGCTTGAAAAAAATTCAGTCGGTTTGAGCAATTTTACCACCTGTCCTCTGCAGAATTTTGTAGTTATGAAATCAAATTCTGCTTCTCCATCAAGATATTTCTCTTGGGTCATGAAAAAATTACCCAAACACCACTCAGATATTTTTTCTAAAAGAGGCTGTGGTGAGGCTGAGTTTTAAGGGATTTCAGGGAATGTCTAAACATAAGTAATCTGCTTTAAGATGGGTCAGTCACTACATTCTAGCTAGTAAAAACAGTTGTTCCAACAGGCTGAAAACATTTCTGAAATAAGCGACTAACTTATTTTACTCCCTAAAATTTTACTACCTTTTTTTTTTTTTTTTCCCCCTCAGGGACACTGCTGCCCTAATATTGACTCAAAATCAGGTGCATAACTGCTTTCTGAGGGTGAATGTTTTATCCTTCACCTTTATTTAAGACTTGGGAGCTTTCCCCCGGGGTTTAGTTCAATGTTACAGGACTGGAACTGCTATGTGGAAGTGCAGTTTTAGACAAAACTTCACTGCTGAAGCTCCTGAGGCTCTAGTTGACCTTGTAAAGGATGGGGATGCACTGTTACCTTGTGTGCATGGAGAGAGCATGTATGTAATGTATTTAAGTTATTAATATCAGACAGTACGGATGCAGAACTTCAAAAAGTGGGCTCTTTCTCAGAAGTAACCTAGATGTCTGGTTTTAATGTTGTTCAGCAGGAGCTGAAGGAGGAAAGGTAAAAACCTTTAATTCAAGATACTTCTGAGAAGACACAGTCTTACCTAATAACAACGCTGAACATATGCTATTTTCTGAGGCAGATTTATGCTGTGAAAGCCAAACTTCATTTCTTTCTTAAAAGTAAATTGGTGCTCAGGAAGGAGCAATAAGAACTTAGACTGTAGAGAGCTTGCTGAATATTAACAAAATTAGTACTCTGAGTATGAAAACTTTGTTCTGATCTGTTTGCGGAGTTTGAAATAAAAGCACAAACTGCCATTTCTGTATGTTGCATGCATGTGTGAAGTTTAGAACTTATATATTCATAGGTTCCCTTTCTTTCCCCCTTCCCCTTTTAACATGTAGATTTATGAGGAATCAAAGATGAACTTGGAGCAGGAGAGGCCTTTTGTCTGCAGTGCCCCAGGCTGCTCACAGGTGAGTGGAGTCAGCAGTGATATTAATTGAGTCCTCAGCACTAGCTCTGGCTTGTATAATGCCTCCTGATATATTAACACATGTCTAATAATAATATGTGTGTGAGGGATTTTTTGTGTGTTTTTTTTTTAAGACCTGCTTCCCCTTGATTCTCTCCTTTCCCACAAGACAATATTACAAAATATTTCAAGCAAATACAGCAGCCAGTCAAAAGAGAGCTGATACAAGTGCTCCTCAAGCTGCTTCTGTGCCTTTTCTCATCCCAAAGCCTAATGTGTCATGTATTGCAGATTCCTGTAGGGACTATCAAGAGAGGACACATTAGGCAGGACACATTTATTTGTCTTCTGCTGAGACGTATGAATATACTACATTGCTATTGGGAGGCCCTAACCCTCCTTGCATTTTTTTTTTCTGTTTTAAATACTTAAATACAATGATATCTTATTAGCTGATTTTTATTTATTTATGTATTTATTTTATCTTTAAGACACCTTCCTACTAAACATTTTCTGTGGAAAACACAGCCTGTAGATAAATTTTTGCCCCAGGATGTGCATTTGGGATTCCTCTCCTGTTGACTGGTGTTCTGCCATATGTCTCCAAGGGTAAATCCTGACCTGTAATATTAGCTTTTTAATGAGCTTAAAAAAAACCTGAAGTGACAAAGATTTTACCTGCTGAGATTTGAACTGGGGTGTGTGTGGTTTTTTCAGGGATTTTGCAGTGGTGAGGGAAGTTCCCCCACATGCAGTGATGAGGAAAGTTCCATGTGTGGCACTTCTGACCCTAATTTGTTTTAGTAACAAAAACTTGTGAATAAAATCTCCAGACAAGTGAGTCTTTTAGGCTTTTGCCATAGGCTTCCCGTGTGCATCCCTGTCATGTGATACAACTTACCCATTTTCCAGAGCCCTCCTCTCTTAATTACTGAACTTTTCTTTCCCTCTTTCAACTGTATGTTGGGAGTTTTCAGCTGGCTGAGGTATTGACAATTCTTTAGGTTCTTCTTGCAGAGGGATGGGTGACTGTTAATGAAGTGTAGGGGTTGATTTTGCCAAGAGCTGAAATAAGGAGAGGCAGAAGCCTTCAGTCCAGTTAACAACTGGCTGAGTGGCTTTGCTGTTTCATAAAGAGGGAGGTTTCTTTGGGAGGCAGAGTGCATCTTTTGGATTATCCCTCAGCTGAGAATATGTCCCTTTAGATTTCCACATGCGGAGTTAAACTTTCATCATTCTGTCACAGAGGTAGAATAAAAGTATCTAAGTTTAATTGTGATGTTTATTTACCTTTTTGAAACTAAATTCCACTGAAATCAGTGGACTTGAGTGTTTTCATGTCAACTCTTAATTAGTTTCCTCAGTGGAGAAGAAGCTGATCCAGACAAGCTCTCTTAGGTTTTCAGAGAGCAAGTTTGGTTTCATGCTATTAAAAATTGGAAAGACGAACAATGTAGATGTGATATCCATTTTAAAAAACATTTAACTTCCCATTCCCCAACATGACCCCTGTTTATAATAAATGAGGACTTGACATAAGTGCATAATGCAGAGCTGCTGTCAAGCTAAGCTGGCTGGGGACTGGCTTGTCTCTTGGCCCATGCAGATGTGTGCTGAGGGCTGATAGAATCAACACAAGGAAGCACAAGGACGAAAGTCGACCTAGAAAAAAGACAGAGAAGTCTGGGCTGGAGGAACAGTTTCTCCTCACGCCCTGTTTAAGCTGGCTGATTTCATGATGAAGAGAGAGCATGGCATCCATGAAGGAAAATCCATTTTCAAGATAAATAAATATAGGGTCTTTTTTCCCCCTTCACGATTTCATTGAGCAAAGTCTTTCTCAGATATTCCCTTTGTTCTTAACATAAATTCCTAATGCTGCATTTCTTCCAGATGAGTAAGCAGAGAACCAGAATTTCGCAGTGAGAAAAAGATCTTTGGGATTTTTTTCTTTTTCTTTTTTTTTTTTTTTTTCCCAGAGAATTCAATTCCATTTTTTATGCTGCTTTGTCTATGGGTTTAGAGAGATGCTCAGAAGGTGTAACATATGGCAATTATTTATGCTATAGCCAGAAGCGAAGTCACTTAGCCAAGAGTATACTGTGTTGAAAGCATTAGGTCCCTTTACCTCTGTTGTTGTCATTGTTTTTTGTCTCCTGTGTTCCTGTTGCTTTAAAGAGCTGCTTTTAATTTTTTTTTTCCTCAAGCCTCAGTGATACTACTTTTGGCTTTTGATAGTCCTGAAATAACCCAGTTGAAGCCATCTCAGTAGCAAAGGTCTGTGTATACACATTCTGGTGAAGGAAACTTTCCAGAATCATTCTGCTGTTTGAGCCCAAATGTGCAAGTGCTTGAGCATTTATTCAAGCTTGTATCGTCTTGGTTTTGTTCAAAAGAAGTTATTTCTTCTAGAAGTCTATAATCAGATTGTAAAACAAACTTAACACATTGATTAGTTTCTTACAAAAAACATCTCTCCACCTTCTCTGCTTGACAAAAGAGAGTGATTTAATTTAGTATCATAAGGGATCATAACTAGTTGCTATAAAACTGTGCACCATTTAATTGCCACTTCAAATCAAGTCAAAGTATCAGATATTTCCAAAATTAAAGATGTGTATTGCCTGAATACTTTTGGTTAGAAAAAAAGCTGGCTTATTTAGTTACTTTTATAGCTATTCATCAGATATATGTTGCAGAAAGACACAAAAGCAGAAAAATCCAGTAAAGTGATTTAAGATTTGCCTCATTACTTAGCATTTGCCGTGGGCTAGGAGCATACAGAACAGCAACTATGGCAGATGCTCAGGCACGTGGTGACTTGTGAGGCTGTGGTAGCTGGAGTGGGTGTCTGGGACCCTTAGAATCTAAAACTTGTAATTGTTTTCAAGCAGTTGAATGACACCTTACGGTTTTTCATCCCAGACAGCACAGCAGCAAATGTGTTACTAAATCAAGTACAGCTATTTGTTATTCATACTCACTTGTATTTTCAAATATTCTGTTTCCTGTGCCATTTGGACATATTTCTAGCTGGATAAATTTCTTTCTGTCTCTCATTTTTAAATTCTGTCCAATGCCAAAAGTTTATTAGAGAATTAAATTCTTCTTTTTTTCTTTTTTTTTTCTCTCTTCCTCTCTCTTTTTCTGTGTTTGCCTGACAGCGTTTTCCAACAGAGGATCATCTGATGATTCACAGGCACAAACATGAAATGACTTTGAAGTTTCCTTCAATAAAAACAGATAATATGTTATCAGGTAAGAAGACATGAATTCAAGAGTTGAGATAACTATTCAGATGATGTTGAAAGCATGACTCCTATTGGAAAGCTACTGGTGAAATGACTCCAAGATTGGTTTTAAAAAGCCCCAGCTCCAATTAAATAACAAGGAGAGGTGGATTAAGCTAGAATGCATATCTTTGAACAAAAAGACAGTCGCCATTCTTGTGTCTTCATGCAGGTTTGCCATGACAGGGAAAAAAATCACTGACCCTCAGGCATGCTGGAAGCTCTGTCATTGATTTCCAGTGAAATACAGGCACTTAAGTGCGTGTCACTTGGGAACCCAGCAGTGAGAGTGTTAATGAAGTGCATTTGTGCTGTTGCTGGAAGAATTGCCATTTAAACTGGACAGGCTCACTTCAGCAACTGGAATTGGCCACATTGTATGAGCCATTGCGTGGCTGTATGAGCCATTGTGCCCGCTGTAAATAGCCATAAGCAGAAAGGTGAACAAGTGGGTGACATCCAGGACTCTTTCCCCATCTCTGTTTGTGCCTCTCCCTTCACAAACAGGGGTTGTTATTAGGTACAATTTCTATAATAACTATAATTTCTTGAGCAGTATATTTCTTCTGCAGTCTTTCTGTGCTCTTGTCTGTGTAACCACATATCAATGGCTTGCTGGCCTTCAACAGTGTTGGGTAAAGTCAAGCTAGCCCTTCCTTTTACTTCTGTCCTCTCCTATTCCCTTTCCTATTGTTCATTCTTTGGGCTATAGTAATGGGCTATTTAGAATAGTATCTCTAGACTTTTTCAGGTTTTGAAGTAATGGTAGAAAACCCCTCTGTGATGCAAATGTGTGTGTGGATGTTCAACAGTGTTTGATATTTGTCTTTTGCAATGGGCTTCTTCAAGGTAAATTGCGCCACTTCAGATACAAATGTATATTCATTAAAGGGACTCCAGCAGACTAATTATTTTCTGGTTAAACTGTTTCCATTTTAATGAAAATCATAATGAAGTAACGATGGTTTGCAAATATGAAGGTTTGAGTTTTTTGGTGGTTTTTTTTTTTGGTTTGTTTTTTTTTTTTTTTGGGACTTTGGACACCAAGGAAAATTTGGACAGCCATTTTTCCCACATAGAATTTATTTTGCTTTTCTTTTTAAAATGCCATAGTGGACTAAGTTTAGAAAGAAACAGTACACAGCATTTTGAAGACTAGGTCTTGTAAAGTGCCTGAGTGCTAGCTATGACCACAGAATCCTGTGTTTGCAAGCACAAATGAGGAAAAGCTGCTTTTGTATTTGGCTGTGTCCTTTGGCAGTGAAACTGCTCGAAGACATCTGTGCTGTGGGCACATTCACCCTGTGCAAGTGATGGCTTTTGTTAAAATGCTGGCTTTCTGTTTGGCAAGGCTTTTGTTCAAGTGCAGTTTCTAAGGAATCTATTCTGTCATCAGGAATCTCCTGAGCAGAGTAGGTCCATTTGTGTTTGGTAACTTCTATGCCATCCTGCTTCTTCCAATGTTGTTTTCCTAAGCAAAAAGAATGTCTGTCTTCTAGCTCTACCAGTGATACTGGGCCCCCTAAACCTGCAGTTTAAAGTGTTCATACTAATGTGGAATTTTCTGGCCAGAAAGACTCTGAGATTGCTTCTAAGGGATGTATCCTTTGGGGTTTGTTTATGATGATCCTCTGTAGTAGTGAAAGAATAAAAAGTCACATGTGTTCCCAAAGACTGTGGCCAATGTTCCTGACTGTCATGCCCTGGCAAATTGGTTCTGAAATTGGTTCTGCTGGTGTATTGATTCCTCTTTTTGTGTTTGTTTTCTGGATTTGTTTAGCATTTTGCAGCCCTTACTCAGGAAGCATCATAGATCATCTGCTTTCTGCAGGAAGACATTGAAAAATAGTTGTTTCATTACCCACTGAAACCCTGGGGAAATCTAAATACCTTAAAGTTTAAGATGTTTTATTCTTAGATTTCAGAATGAAAAATTAATGATATATGGGAAAAAGAGAGACTTTTCTCTTAGACATTTGTCTTCATGTCTTCCTTGTTTTTTGCATTTTTGCTTATGTGACTTTTTAAAAAATTTGTTCCTGTCATCAGTAGGTTCAAAGAATTGCAGCAGCAATTGCCCTGTAATAAGCCAGGTGCACTGTTAGTTTTTTTCTCCCCTCTTTCTCCTAAGCTGCCTAGAAGTCAGACTTTCTCATTTTTTTTTCCAGTATGTTGTATACTGTCTTTTAATTTGTTGTATATTAACATTATTATTAACAATTAGCCATGAAAAGTAGCACACTGTATGCTTTCAGGTAGACATTAGAATTATTTACTCTGTTTACAGAGGTAACTTAATCCACAGTCAGGATTCACTATAATATCAATAATATTTAACACATTAAACATATTTTTTATAAACTGTTCCTGGAAGTAGGCAATGAAATGGTTGGTTTTGTACAAGACATATTAAAAACAAAGCAAAATATGACTTGGGAAGAAGAAACTTATTTTTTGTGTGAAATCTATGTTTGGGTCTGAAATATATGCTTTTAAGGAAGAGATGAAGTTATGTTATATGTGAAGTTATATGTTGTCATGTAGGTGGGGTCGGTATCTAATAAACAACGGTGCGTGACCTGATTGCAACAATTGGTGCTGTGCTGGTTTATCAGGTGTATGTTTCCAGGACCTTCTGAGTTATCAACTAGCTTCACTACATTTTCTACCAATTTTTTCATGCTGGCTTAAGAAGAACAAATTATATTAAATCTGGTGAACCCATCCCTTGAACCAATTCAGAAATTCCAGATACCCATGTGCACCAAACAGCTTTCTGTTCTCTGACTGTATGAATGGAAGGAAAATCCACTAGAAGCTTTGCATTAAAATGCAAGTGATACTTCTGTTGCACAACTTGACAACACAATTCTGTCTTTTTAAATTAACGTTATTTGTGCCTCTTTGTTGTATGCATTTTTTTTTGTTAGAAAGTCTTGTTAAGAATATGGATAGAGAGTCATTGATATTTTCCATTTCCATCTTTCCAGCTACAAAAGAGCTGTTTGAGATAACACAGGATATCTTATGTAAGTTTTGCATGCTAGTAAGCATTGCAGGCAACAATATAGTTAAATTGACTGAAATAGATATCAGCTCTTTGCTGTTGTGCAGAGTGAACAGTGTTTGCATTGCTTTGAAACTCTACATTGTGTTGTGTGACAAAGCTTTTGTGTTTAAACACCAAAATATTAATGTCTGTAGAATAGATTGCTTCCTCCAGGGAAATAATAAAAGCCCTGTGGAACTGAACTTTGGGAGCTGGGGATTATCTACATAGAAACCTTTTTTCCTTCCTCATTCTATTTAATGAAACCAAATCCTCTAGAGTTTTGGTGATAAAGCCCACTGTGGAGGTAGAAACAGTTTTCTCTAGATGGAAGAAATGCCTGTAATAAAGGTAGTACAAAGGTATTCCTTTTCCCAAGCAATGCCTGTGCCAGTGAGGTAATTTACATCACTCTGGGTTGCCTTAATTTTTTCCTCCTTGTAGTTTACACAGAGAGGTTTATCTAGGCATGAATTTTGAGGCATGCAAAATGATTTGGTATGAGGACTCATTCTGTAGTTTGTTTTATTGTTTGCTTCTGTATCTCTTGCTTTATCAAAAATAAAATGAAACATTTTCTTACATTTACGGGTCAGTTTCAGAGTAACAAGAAGTCATTAAAAATTAGTTGTACCCAGTATGTGTACCCCTCCAGGAAAGTCCAACCAATACTTTAAAGGGTATATATTTAGGCAGTAAAGTTCTTGGTAGCCCTCATCTGGGTGGGAGCAGTTTCATCACCTATGTTTGAGTGCACTTCTTCCTCTCCTCTTTCTCCACCTGGTTGTTGTTGTATTATGATGTTGAGCTCCTCAGTGCACTTGGGTGGAAACCTCTGAAATCTTTCTGAAGCCTTTCTGAACTTCTCAGGTCATTCCTCTGTAGCTGCTTGATGGGAGCCCTTCAAATTTCTGTGCTAGCCCCATTACTCTGACTTTGTTATCATTGTATGAAAGTACAACAAGGGTAAGTGTATAACTTCAACAGAGCCCACAGCTGAACAAGCCAAATGTCTATTATTATTGCACATCAGACTAAACAAGTTTTTTTTTCTGAAAGAAAAATGAAGAATCAAGTTACACACTTTTGAGCTGTGCTGTTAGGTATCATTTACCAAATCAGAATTTAATTCTTTTTTTTCTCAAAATGAAAGCTTGTTTCAAATAAGCGTCCTTTGGTTCTCCAAGTTTTTTTTTTTTTTTTTTTTTTTTTTTTTTTGTTTTTTTTTTTTTTTTAACGTGTAGCATGCTTTAAAATTTCCTTTTGTGTTTTTGAGGGATGAAACTAAGGAATTCGAGGTAACTTTAAAAAACACATTCTGGATGAATCAAGTAAGTTTCTGTATAGCAAGCTAATATTTTATTTCCTGAGCTGTTGTTTTGAAAATAATGTGTTGAGACTGAGTGTCCTTTCTGAGAGTATTATTTCAATCCCCACACCCCCAAACAAGCAACAACATTGCATTACCATGTATTGCCAAATATTGTGAATACAGAATGGAACATTTTGACTTTATTGAAGACTTCAAGTTCCCCATAGCCTTACCACATATATTTTTTTAATGAGCCTGAAAAATCAGGTATCACTTCAGACACTGAGGACAGGTTTTCAAAAGTCAGCAACCAAAACATACACAGTATGCAAAATTCTGGTCTGAATATGATTGCTGAGTGTATCTGAAATCCCTTCCTGTAAGATATAGTAGGTTAACTTGGGATCTGCACTGGTGAGATCATTTGCACTTGCTCTGGGATTTATTTATTGTCCATTTACTTTTATTTAAAGTTTCTTACAGCCTTTCTTGTCATGACTGTGTCATCAGAGAGCCTGATTATTTCCCTTAATAATAGGCTGAACAATATTTTCATTGCCTAGTCTGAAGCTTGACATAGTCTGTGTTTAAGCTGGTGATGAAGTTGAGATAGAAAAAAATTCCTAAGTAATTATCAGATAACAAGTTTACCTGTGAAGGGACAGATGCCTAGAGGTAGATGCCTCAAAGGACAGTAAACTAGTTCTAGAGGGTGGAACTAATTGAAGATGGAAAAATTTTTGCATGTGGAATGATGGGTCTGGGTTGGGATAGCTGATCAGTATCTTGGGTTAACCTAGATAACGCTGTATCCCAAGCTGCCAATACAAAATACAGTTTGTGACTAATAGTAGAGTCCTGGGCTGTGTGAGTAGCAGTGTGCCTGCAGAACAGCTTGCTACATAACATGTGTCCTCAGCAGGAATGCTGAGAGTGGTGCTGGCTCTGTCTGAGTTTTGGTCCAGATGGGTCTGGCTCATCCAGTTGCTGAAGTGCAACAAATCAGAGCCCTGTTCTCCGTGAATCTGCAATAGTTGTGGGTGCTGGTGATAGCAACAAAAGCTTTGTTTGTACCAACAGGGAACACTGAGGTCAGGCACAAGCTGTTGGAACTATTAATGCATTTTTAAGTGCTGAGAATTAGGAATATTTTATTAATTCTCGGGGACCTGATTTTGTAGTTTATGCTAGGGTCTCCTTTGTGATACTCCTCCCAGTTAAAACACAAAGGCTTGCCTAATCTAGGTAAAAGAATTTCTGTGTTGTTGAGAGCAATTTCTTCTACTATTTTGCCCACATCCTATAGGAGAACTGGTGTTTAGCTGAGGCAAAAATGTTGGTTGCTCAGGAGCAAATCAAGCTCATTAGATTTGATAGTCTTGAAATCCTGGGACCAGTGAGTGCTGTGTAAGTGCAGTGTAACTACTTTACTACACAAAGTCTCAACATTTTTAAGTCTGGACCTTTATCAGTTCTGCTCTCACACAGACAGAACTACGAAGGCAATTCTTGTTTTACATCTGGCTGAGCTGACTTCCAGGAGGTCTGTGGATGAAGCTTAGGCTGGCTGGTTGGTGGTGCTCCTTCATCACTTGGGATAAATGAGGGGCTGTCTGTCTTAACAAAAATCTTCATGTGAATTCCTGCCAGTCTTATTTCTGGAACATAGGAACTACAGTAGCAGTATGGGGAGACTGAGGTAATAAAATAAGATCACCATCTCGATATATAGATGATGTAAACAGTGTCATTATCAGTTTTGATCTTTTGACATATTAAAATAGTTAATTGAAAGTTCAACTGTAGGCAACACCATTGCTTATCTTGTGGTGCAGAAGACAGATCTTCAGCATGAGCAGAGAAAGGAAGCCATTGAGGCCCTTCTGAATTTGAAATCACATTCTTGCTCTGGCTTGCTTTTTTTTACTGTTAAAATGGATTTACTTCAATGGATAACTTTTTTTTCCTTTTGGCCAATTCTGAGCCCAAGCAACTCTGGAGAAACCAGAGTTTTTCATTCTAGTGAAAGTAGTGGCATCTACTTCTTTATGAAACCATAGTTTCTAATTCTGGCCACGAAATTGATACCTTGCTTATTTGATATGGATATATCACTTCTAACAATAAAACATTTCCTCTGTTTACCTCACATTCCAATACTAATGTGCCCTTTGTGTCCAGGAAGGCTTAGCAACAGTTGTCTTTGATTTTCTACAAAACAATAGTATTGTTCACTAAAGTAGCATTTAATCCTTTTTGGAAATTAAATCTATTTCTCCTGCATTTAAGTGCCATTTATTTCCAATACGAGCTGCAGTCCAAGGGCCAAAAACAACCCTGGTGTACATCTACTGAGTTTACTGAGGTTACTTCAGAGGTTTGTTTGGCACTTCTTATTTAGGATATGGACCTGTAAAGTGCTGAGTGTCCTCAGCTCCCATTGATGCCAGCACCTTGTTGACTCATCTCCTTATGCTGAGTTCTTGCAGGATTCTTAGAAAGTTTCGTTTCTCACTCTGGTGATACAGTAGTTAGCTGTGAAAGGTAATAGATAAATAAGTGTGCATTCCCAAATACGTGAAGTTTTTTTCCTTTAAGATCATAGGTGGGATGCTCAAGCCAAAAAGAAATGAAAAAGGAATTTTAACATTAAGGACTTGCATTCTGATGTTCCATCAGAAATATAAATGCAAATGAGTGTCTTTGCTCTTGGATTACCTGAGAAAGTAAAATCTGGAGGACCTTGCTTGATACAGGTGGAAATTGGCTCCTCCTGACTTTATAATGAAGGAGGCTGATTGTCGGAATCTGTGGGTATTGATGATTCCGAGATTGTAGAAAGTCTCTGTCTTTCTGCCCCTTTGCCAAATAAGAAGCCATAATTCATCTGTGCTGTTTTCAAGGTTGTTTATTCTTGCTTATCTCTAACATGTTCTGCTGCCCTGCCGCAGGTCTGTCCTGCAGGGCAGCGTGCGGGGCTCTGCCCCTCAGTGGGATGTTACAAACATTATATACCAGAAACTATGTGTGCTATATTTACAATAATGTGCCAATATCTATCATCTACGTTAAACAGCATGTCCCCAGCCTAAACCAATAGAAAAATGCCAACACTACAGTGAAACATGGGGGGCATGAAGAAGGAGGAAAAGGGCAAGACACACCCAATTTCCTCCATCTTGTCCCCTTTGAACCCCTAATCTAGAAACCTAAAATTTTACTTTTGCACCCGTGCCACACTTAATTATTACTCTTATCAAACACTCAGAGCTTGTAATTCATCCTGTAAGATTGAAAACTCCTCTCCATGGACAGAGATCACAGACAGTGTCTCTCGGGGCTCTGTACAGGGGGGTTCCTGACCCCTGCCAGGGTCCCAGACCTGCCAGGGCAGCCAGAGGGAAGCCCTGGATTCCCACAGCTGATCCTCTTCCTTAATTTCTAAGTGAAAACTGCATTTTCTTTTGTGTACCTTGCTTTTGTACTGCTTAATTTGGGCTGATGTGCATTTCTATCCTGATCATGTAAAATTCATGGTGTTAGGTAACTGTTTGCTGTTAGAGGGTAATATTAGACCTTGACCTAGCTTAGCTAGGTTCAAGAAAGGATTTTTTTCTTTGTAGAACTGGGAAGCTTTTTTCTGAGGTCAAAATTGACCTAATATGGGCAACAGGGTTCAATATAATAGAGTTTTCATTCTTTAAAGAATGAAATGCAAACAATAGGTAGTAGTCAAGGACTATGCTGAAAATTATTTTTTAACAAAATGAGTCCAATCTTTTTGTAAAGTCACATACAAAGCATCTCAAGCTGGGACAGAGCCTTGGGAAGAAGGAGCCAAGGTGGAATAATAAAGAACTAGACTCAGAATGAGTAGAAGTGCCTCAGACCTGTGCTTTAGGGAGTCTTTGGTTCCCAAACTTGGGCTTCAGTTTTCATTTCCCGAATAAAGAAAGTGAAATCACTGAAACTACATGGCAATTTTGCTTGTCTGTCTTGCAGGTTTTTGAAAAAGTATCACAAAACCTTGTAACTTTCCTCCTGCCTGTGGCATTAAAGAGAATACTGCCCTTCTTGTATTAATTCTGAGAGGGCAGAAAAATCCTAGAGATGAAGGCATTGAATTTTTTTTTTACTCCAAATTTAATAATTTTCCATATATTATCAACACTTTCAGGTATAAAACACAAAAGGGTGCTTCTTCATGACCAGAATTTCATTTTTCGTAGCTTTTCTAAATGTTGTTTAATTCTTCCTTCAAAAATTGTGTTGGAAGCAAAACTTTTTGCCATGGCTACCCTTTTTTGCTAAGTATGTGTATGTTTGAGATGGTGTTTGAGCACTTGAAGGCATTAACTATTGTGATTCCACAGCAGTTAACACATGTGCTGTGGTCTAAATGTGAATTATGAGATGCACTGTGTGTTGTTCTGCATGAGCCTATTTTTAGAAGTTTATAGAGAGTTCTAATGACCATGTGCACAGGTTGAGGAGATGCACTTGTGTTATGTGCCCCGGGAAAACCCATGCTGTTGTCTTTCTGCACAAATGATGACTGCTGCCTGGTTTTGGACGATGATGGCAAGCACTGGCTGCCGGCAGCATTTGGTGTCAAAATTCAGCACTGTGTGGGTTTTTTAATGATGGTGTGCAAGTAGGGGTGGGAAGGGAAAGAGAGGTTTGGTTAGAACCTCTCTTTGCCTGGAAGACTATTTAATTGTCTCACTCTTTTTTTAATATTGAGCACCAATGATCATTTCTCATCTTGTTCCCAGATCAGACTCCCACGCCAACGCGCTTTCTGAAGAACTGTGAGGAAGTCGGGCTCTTCAACGACATCGACTGCTCCCTGGAGCACGAGTTCAGGAAGGCACAAGAAGAAGAGAACAACAAAAGGGTGCGTGTGAGCACACTAAGCCCTTCCTCCCCTTTTGATTCCCTGAAATGGTAAAGGAAGTATCCTTTAAGCTGTGTGATAGCAGATTGAACTCTACTACCTAGTAGTAACCTTTTGGTTAGAAACTAGGTGGCACTATAAATTGTGACATGCTTTTTAAAACTATTGAAGCAGTTGACAGAAATAAAAACCCCAAACCAACAAAAAAATCCAGTATTAAAAGATAAAAAAAAAGGGTAACTGTGTTTGCCAGGGTTTGATTCCAAGTCTCTGCTTTTAAGTAAACTATAACACAAACTACACACCTCTTGAGGGACAGGCTTGGGAAAATTATATCATCTTTGAAGTGAGGATTGCAAACTGGCTCAAATACATTGCAGGGAAATTTGGCTTACAAAGAGGCATTTACTTAAGAGTAAATTTTTTTCCTTTTCTTTTTTTTTTTTTTTTTTTTTTTTTAATTCCTCCACAATGCAATGGGCCCTTGGATTTATTAATCATCAATACCAGCTTTATTGGGTTTCTGTATTCCTCATAAAACATTCAAGTTGAACTGGGAAACTTTGACTTGAAACGCCTAGTAGATTACATATCTCATTTGCAATTAGTATTCTTTTAGTTTATTCTAAAGCTATTCTGTCAGTAATCTGAAATTTAGGTTGAATTATATAAGCCACCTTGTATATAAGTGTACTCCTGTACCCAGAGATAGTTAAGAGTGTTTTCAGGGATCCTAAAGTGCTATTAATATTTTCAAAGAATGGTAAAAGAGCTTAATGCACTAGAGAGGCTGGGAAGAAAAGAGGTAAAGCTCCCTGCTGAGGTGCAGAACAGGAGAGGAGGCTTGTAGAAAGAGAAGGGAGTCAAGGAGCAGCTTGGTTTTGGCTTACAAGGAAGTGAGTCTAGGTATGGTTTATCTGTGGTTCATAAGGAAGGAGACTGGGACAGATAGAGGAGGACAGAATGCTGAGCAAGGAATAAGAGTGTCCAAATGTGAGAGAGTTCAAGTTTTGGTCAAGTATTGGGAAAATAGCACAGACTGAACCTCACAGCTTTGTGTATTGGACAAATGTTAGAAAACAGTCATGTATTGAGATAAATGTGTCTAATTTTAGACTTGTTAAAAAATTTTTGGTTTAGGTTCTGCTGAGGGGAGTCTTAGTTAGAATCAGGGAGAACTTTTCTGTACACTCCTACTTCTTTTTCCATTACAGGATTTCTAAATTGTTCTCTGTGCCTGATGTTCATTTTGCAGGAGTAAGAGAACAGGAGAAATCTACTGAGTTAGACCTGGGTACAGTTAGCCCCAGACTACAGTGCTTGATGTTGCAGAGAGATTTCAGTTTGCGAGGGATAGTTGTAAAATCTGATTAAAACCTAGACAAGGGCATCAAGTTACCTGATAATTCCAGCTGTTTAGCAGTCTCTGGAAGTCTTATTCTGCCCTCCTACCAACCCCTGCAGCTGCCATTGTTGATCTCCAGGGAGCAAATAAGTCATCATGGGAGTGGGAAATTTTAAAAAACACCCAAAAAAAAAAAAACCCCAAAAAACCCAACCAACCAAAAAAAAAAAAATTCACCAAAACCACAAACAAACCAAACCAACCAAACAAACAAGCAAAAACCCACAGGGTGAAAAAAGGAAAAAAAGGAAAGGAAAAAAAAAAAAAAAAAAAAAAGAGGCGTAAGTCCCACTAGCTGGCTAACCTGTAACATTTGCTCTGTGTTTCCAATTAGTCTGCTGTATGTTCATTCTTACATTACTGACTGACTGTCAGATAGGAATCTGAAGCAGGCCCCAGTAGGGCTTTGCACAAATGCAAGAGACAAAGGCCAAGACAGAAGGAGACTCCTTGAGCTGCAGCTGTCCCTAAGGAAATGCTTCTAACAGCCTATCCCTGGAATATGAGTGTGATGTAGTGTTGGCCTAATGGACCTACCAACACATGGAGACTAAGGTTAACTGCAAGAAAATCTTACTCACTGCACAGTAAAGTCTTCCAAAAATATTTTTGGTCATATTAATTTCTCTGGACTCTGAAAGACACAGTTTTGTTTATTTTAGTATATCACTGCGGCTTAGCACACAGCTTGACACTGAAATCTTGTAACAGAAAAACACTTTCATTTCTCATTGGCTTTTTTTGCTCTTTGAGAGTCATACTTTGAAAAGTCAGAGGATAAATTTCAAGTAGCTGCATTTTTTTTTCTTTCTTTCTTATTTTTTAATTTTTTTAAGTCTTCTGGGTGGGTGCCGATGGATAATCCATGAGAATTTGTTGTGATGAAGCTGGTTATGCAGACTGGTGACTTTCCAAATTAGTGAAGCTCTGAGTGCATGGGTTTAGGAACACCATGTGTGCCTTTTTTTGTAAAGGTACTATTGAGTGGAAAGCACTTACATTAGTATCCCAGCTTCTTATCCAGGAATAAATCACTTGACATCCTTCTGCCGCAGTTGCTCATGCGTTAAAGTGGAAGAAATGTCTCTTTATTCCTTCCATACTTGGCATACCTTATGGTTCTAAGATCATCTGTCAAGGACCAACTATGGATGTATGTGGATTAGCCTTTGCTTGGGGACTGAGGGGATTCAAGGAACAATAATGATGATGATGACATCCAGAACCTGCAATGAGAAAAATAAAGCTATAAATGGAAGTGAGTTTGTCTGTTGGTTTTGGTTTGTCTGCTTCCTATATTAACTGGAAGTCTCTCCTTGAGAAAGACCTGCTCCCTAAATGCAAGGGATGCTACAGATCAGCAATAAGCACATGGATAAGCATGTGAGAAAGAGGCTTTTTCCATCCTCTTGACAGCACTCTTCCTGACAGAAACGTCCTACCTCCCAAATTCATCACCAAAATTAGCACAGGCAAAAAAGCATACCTATACTATATTTCTATGTAGAAAATTCTAAATGTTAAAGTTCTTTGGAACTTGAGGCAGACAGCAATTGACAGCTCAGACCCAGACAGACCTTGCAACCCAACTCAACAAGGCAGGTAGTGCTGGCAGATCAAACATGGCCATTTTAGCCCACTGGCTAAATGGTTTTAGGCTTACACTGCTTGGAACATTAGGTATCCAAAGCATTTGCAGTGGGTTGTAATTGCAAACACATGACCTTTGCTGCTACTGGATAGGCCCTGTTGTCACATCTTGTTTTGAGCATTGAGTTGGGGCTGAGAGTAATGCCAGAAATGGGAAGAGTCAGGGTCTGTTTCTGAATAACTTAGTGGACCCACTTCATTAAAATGCATCTAGCCTGATGTCCCTGTGTGATATGAGAAAAAGTGGAATTTAACTGATTGTAGCAAGTGGTGTATTGCATCAAATAGCATTTACAATAGTGGGCTGAATATTTTTGACATGAGAGCATGTTTAAAATCATATTCTGCCTATGCTAGAGTTTGGATGCATCACTTCCTAAGACTTATCCTGAAACTTTGAAATCTTCTCACCAGTGTTCAGTGCCGGTTCAGATAATGTATACATTATGCAAATAAGTCAGGGAAATGGCTATTCTCAATTTCAGCTTGGTTGTAATGTGTGTTGTTCAGTGTCAGTTCAGGAAGCTCTTTAGTCCTCTACACAGGCTAGTGTTCCTGCTCTAAGTACACTATCCTAAGGCAGGCGCCTCACTGCTAGAAAAGCATCAGCAAATTGAAATAGTTCAGTAAAGAAGAAGAAGAAAAAAACCAAATACAAAGCCTTTAAGGGTTAAATAATTTCAATCTGCAGAAGGAATAAAAAGCTTGAGTATCCAGTTTAGTTGTGTTAAACAAGGGGTGATACACAGTCTGATGTGTGTTTGAAAGACATATATTTGGTTTGTACCTTCTAGGATCTCCTTCTACCTTGTATATATTTCTGTGTATCAGCATAAGAAAGTAGATAAAATGCTTTGTCTAGCTTATATCATGTCACTATTTCATGCTGAACTCAGTGACTCTCTGATGTCCACAAGAAATTTCTTGCAAATATTTGTTGAATGTCATAGTATTGTACTGTACCTATGAGTGTAGGGGAGATGACATAATTCAAAGCAAACTGGAAATGATAGAATCTGTCTCTAAAGAAGTATAGTTTGGAGAAAAAAAACCCTTTAATTTCCACATCTCGCTTAAATTTTATGCAATGTGTATCTAGCCCATAGGTTTCCCCCTCTTCTGAAAAGTAGTACAGAAAAATCATAATGGATTTTGCCTGTGTTTAATAGCTAACATTACAGCAGCTGAAACTAGCAGCGCAGTAAATCACCCGTATCCAGGAAAGGGTTATATGTATGGGGTCATATGTACCCTTATATGAGATGAAAAAATATTTATATGTTGATAAAGCACCCTGTGTAAGTGTTTGGGTTTTAGAGGCCTATATTGTAATACTAATAGGCTATGGGGTAATGCTGGCAATCCACTCCCTTGGTGAAAGAACAAGGACTAAGTGTTCATTTTGGTGGTTGGCTTGGGTGATGGGTGACAAATTAGCCCCAGTTTGCCCTTGTAAGTATTCTGAAACCATAGCAGGGTCCTGGAGAAGAACAGTGTGCTGGTAGATGTTTCAGAGGCAAGTGCTCTGTAAGGGCTGAATTTCACTTGTGAAATAATACAAACCAAACTCATAAGCCTGTTCCTGGAGCACTTTTGACTCATTGTCTGACAGTCTGTACAATGGAAGGAAAGACCTATGTTTAAATGCTTACTATTTTGATTTTTTAAAACATTATGCTATCATAAATGCACATATGTACAGTCTCCCTCCATTTGTCTAAACATGATGTAAGACCATATTTTTTAAATCAAAGGGCCCTCTGATTTCTTATTTTCCCACTGAGATTAAGTATCTTATATACTCAGTATGTCATAGTAGACACAATGTAAGACTAGAAATTAGTAACACTAGAAATTGTTTATGTTAATACAGTGCTTAAGGGCCAGAGTACCATTGTTGTATGTATTGTAATAACTTCAAGTTGTTACTTTATCAATCAGTTAA